ATAATCACTTGCCGGGATCAGAGAGTGGTTGGAATCAGCTGGTAGACATGTTGGTAGACTCCTGTGAGGTGGACAACTGGGTCTGTGAAATGAGTGGACATGGAGACATGTAGAGATGGGCTGAAACCAGGCACATTTCTCTTTTTCCCCTCCAAGGCACAAAACACCACCTGCTTGCCAGGAAGAGAAAAGAGACTGCAGATGGCTGTGGGACAGATTCCAAGGGGGAAAGGCCATGTACATAGTTGACAAGTCAAATATATAAGAGCGATGGCACCAGTGGCAGTGAGAGAGAGAGCTTCATATGAGTCCTCACAGGAATAGATACTTACTCTGGATTGGGATTTGTATACCCTGTAACTAAAGCAAATGCCAAAATATCATGAAAGGACTGGAACAAAAGATACCGTACCAGTTTGTGTGGCCAAGTTATATTTCTGCAGATCAAGGGACACACAGCCTACAGAGTGCAATAATGTGCCAAGAAATATCATATTAAATGGACATACCACATTGCCTAGCACCCTCCAAGTAATGGTCTGGTAGGGAATTGGAAAGGGCAATTGAAACATTTGTTATCTAAAACAGGGGTGGGAGTGATCAGGGTATGAAGTGCTGGCTCACATGCATTCAAGAGTGTGAGCTCACACTCAATATGAGAGAAGCTAAAGGGGTTTGTCCCTGGACAGATTCCTACATTTCTCATGGTTATCTGGAGAAGAAAGTAGGAGAGGATGCTGATGCTACTCATTTCACCTGAAATTGTTTTCTTCTTGCTGATCCTGCATTCCAGGCACAGAGATGCACCTACAGATACCAGGACCAAGAGTGATTCCTGAGCAAACAACTGTAACAATATGCTGACACTCGTACGCAAGAACTCACAAGGGCCTTATGAGGTGGACTGTACCTTCATCCCATCTTTCAAAAGTAGTATTAATAGTGAATCGACAGTGAGTTAACTGTCCTGCCTAGTGGCCAAGACAGCCAACTGGTGCACCTATGAACCCTATTCAACATGAATGGAAATGGACTAAAGGGAAAACTTGCCAGACTGGTCTTGTTACCTGCGATTTGGACTAGCAAAGTTCCTGAGCCTGATGTCCCTTCCCAAGGGGGTAACGTTTGGGTAAAACTAAATGACAAATCGGAAGAAGGAGAAATAATAACCAAGGATAAAGGAATGAATAAATGGGTCATGCACTAAGGGTAACCTAATACCTCAGGAAAGACGTAGAGCAAGGGAATACTTTTTCCAGCCAAACATCAGAGACTAGAAAAGTGAAGCCAAGATACACGAAAGGGCATAAGATGAAATGTATTAAATTTTATGTTTATTTGTATGTATTTGATGGAAAATTATGCTTCTACTATGTGTAACATTAATGTTAAAATATATTGTAAAACTGAATGCTGTATGTTATAATTATGGAATACTGTATTCAGAGAAAGTATGCAAGCTTACTAGTTGTGATTAGAAAGGGAAGATTTGCTATGGAGAATATAGACTGAACAGGGATGGAGATAGAATACATCCCTGACACACTCCTTTCCCAATTCCAAACCATGCAGTGCTTCCCTGCTCCATTCACAAACAGCCTCCTGCTCCAGGTATAGGTTCCTCGTGAGCACAATCAAGTGCTCTGGGATTCCCATTCTTCTCAATGTCAGCCACAACTTGTCATGATCCACAGAGTCAAACACCTTTGCATAGTCAATAATGCACAAATAGACATTCTTCTGGTATTCTGTACTTTCTGACAGGATCCATCTGACATCAGCAATGATATCTCTGGTGCCATGGCCTCTTTTAAACCCCACTTGAATCTCTGACAATTACCTATCTATGTACTGTTTCTGCCATTTTTTAATGATCTTCAGCAGTATTTCACTTGCATGGGATTATCAATGATATTTTTTTATAATTTCCACATGCAGTTAGATCATCCTCATTAAACAGCAGAGGAGAAAGAAAAAACGGAAATGGATGTCAGAAGAGACTCTAAAGATTGCACTGGAACGTCCAGAAGCCAAATATAAAGGGAAACATATCAAAGTGAAAGAGCTGAACAGATGGTTTCAAAGGGCAACTTGAGAGGACAAAGCAAGGTATAATAAAGGAATGTGCAGAGAGCTGAAATTGGAGAATAAAAAGGGAAGAACTTGCTCTGTATTTTTCATGCTGAAAGAACAGAGAAACAATTTTAAGCCTCAATTTGCAATGCTGAAAGATGCTATCGGTAATATATTGAATGACCCAGAAAGCATCAAAAGAAGATGGAGGGAATATACAGAGCTACTGTACCAATCACTGTACCACTGTATCAGATTGACACTGAAAAATTTCAGGAAGCACCATATGAACAGGAGCCAATGGTAATGAAAGAGGAAGTGGAAGCTGCTTTGAATGTACTGGCAAAAAAACAAGGCCACAGGAATTGATAGGTTACCAATTGACTTGTTTTAATTAACAAATGAAGACATGGATGCACTCATCAGTCTATGCCAGGAAATTTGGAGGACAACTGTCTGGCCACTGGATTGGAAGAGGTCCATATTTGTTGTTTGTATTCTCCAGCCAATGAGAAATTATTTATTTTGTGCCATAGTAAGCATAGGGGAGGAAGACCACAGATGAGATGGATTGAAACAGTGACAAGGACAATGGAGGTAAGTGTGTCAGAGTCAGTGAGACTGGTTCAGGACAGGGCAGGCTTCAGAGCTATGGTACACAGGATCGCTATGAGTCACAGGTGACTTGACAGCACATAACAACAAGAACAACAGTACTTATTAAGGAAACAGGTCTGCAATACAGTTTTTTCCTCTGGAAAATCTCACTACCTGGGACATAGCTGCAGATGCCCACCAGGCTCTACCCCACTAACCTGCATCACCAACAGTCACCATCCAGCTGTGCCACAATTTACAGTCTGCAAGGTCCTTCCCCATCATTCACCAGTTTCTTCAAAACCAGTCTGCTACTTATGGTCATGGGAGGCATTTTCCTGTTGGGTCTGAGACTCTGAGAAACCTTCTAATGAATCTGAACCCAAGGGCCATAGAATAATTTGGGAACTGAAACACGAATGGATCGGTTCATGTTAGAAATTATGGACACATACAGCTGGTTAAGGATTTGGTATACATTGACCTGAGACTTCTCATAAATGTTGTTGTTGTAGTTGCTAGGTGCCATTGAGTCGAGTATGACTCAGAGTGGCCCTATGAAGAATACATCTGAACCCTGTCTTATTCTGTGTCATCTTCACACTTCCCAATACACTACAGACCATTGCTGCAGTCATAATGTCAACCTTCCTGGTTGATGGTCTTCCTCTCTTTTGCCAACTCTCCACCCTTTCAAGCATCATGTCTCTCTTCAAGGAATTACCCCTCCTAGCAACATGCCCAAAGCATATGAGGCAAAGCCTCAACATTCTTGCCTCCAAAGAGCACTCTGGTTGCACCCTCCCCAAGACTTATTTGTTTGTTCTCTTGGCTGTCCGTGATCAGTGCTCTTCTCCAACACCACAGCTCAAAGGCATTCTTCTTCTGCCATCCTTATTCATAGTCCAGCTCTCAGAAGCATAGCAAATGATCAGAAAGACCATGCCCTGAATCGGACACACCTTAGTCCTCAAACCGACATCATTGCTCCTTAATAATTTGGAAAGGTCCCTAACTGCAGAATTTTCCAGTGCAATGCATCTCCTTATCTCCTGACAACTGGTACCAAAAGTGTTACCTGGGGATTCAAGTAAGATGAAGTTGTTGAAAGTTCAATCTTTTCTCCAATCATCATGACATTGCCTATCGGTCCAGTGGTAAGAATTTTGCTTTCTTGACATTGAGATGCAATCCACTCTGAAGGTTGTATTTCTTGATCTGCAAAAGTGCTTCACGTCCTCCTTACTTCCAGCAAGCAAGGTTGTGTCATCTGCATAACGCAGGTTACTGAAGACTCTCCCTCCAATCCTGACGCCACATTCTTCTTCCTAGAGTTCAGCTTCTCGAATAATTTTCTTAGCATACAGATTGAATAGGTATGGAGTGAAACTACAGTGCTGATATACTCCTTTCTAATTTTAAACCATGCAGTGTTTTCCTGCTCTCTTCACACAACAGCTTCCTGGTCCAGGCACAGATTTTATATGAACATAATTAAGTGCTCTGGGACTCTTATTCTTCTCAAAGTCAGCCATAACTTGTTATGATCCACACAGCCAAATGCTTTTGCATAGTCATTAAAGCACAAACAGACATTCTTCTGGTATTCTTTACTTTCAGCCATGAACCATTGACCTTGATGGCATCAATGATGACCTATAAATAGTCAGTTGTTAATTTCAGCAGAATGAATGATGAAAACAATTTGGTGTCAGGAGTGATAGTACTGATTGCCAAAGAAATGTTTATTATAAATATAAGGTAAACATAAATAGTCTCAGCTTTAAATAGATTAGTTGGAAATAACTACCTGAACAGATACTTGTTTTGGTGACGCAAGTATCTCCTCTAAAAGTAGAACTGCTAACCAGTCATGTTCTTCAGAGAACTCTAAAAATCTGATTCCCTACATACTAATGATTAGGAAGCTCTGAGGGCATAGTCTCCAGCAAGTTATGTTGTTAACCCAAAGGCTGTATATCTCCGGTGGTTTGAATACACCTGCAACTTTGCAGGAGAAAGAAGAGCAGTCTTCCTCCATTATGATTTACAATCTCAGCAACCTGAAGGAGGGTCGTTATGAGTTGGAACTGAGTCAATGGCAGTGAGTTTCTGTTTTTTTAAAAAAAGGTTACTTATTGACATGTGCATTTTAATTTTCCACAACTTGAGAAAAGAAAATGAGTGCAAAAAAAGAAGTGAAATTTTTTAAGTTGCTGATGTAATATAATTTCTTTTGTTCATTACTCTCGTTTAAAAAATTCCCTTAAATTCCTCTGTAATCCTAAGCACATCTGAATCAGAGCAGAAGAATTATTAAAATGTCTCACCATACACTCGGAGGTCAAAATCTCTTTGCTTCTCACCAGCAGCATTCACTGCTACACAGGTGTATCTTCCTGTATCACTGATTTGGGCACTGGTTAGTGCTAAGATGCGACCCCCAGAGAGAACCTAGAAACAACAAGAAAAGTAAGAAACAAATGTATCCCTGACAGAACAGGATTATTCTCTTTTTCCCTTCTCATTCTCTTTGTGAAAAATCAACTGGTTAGGACCAAACTTTGTAATAACCGATCTCTATATACATTCTCTCTCTCTCTATAAGTTCAAGTGAAGGTCAGTTTGATCCTTACTTAGCATAGGTAGAAACAACAAGAAATAAGAGGAACCCTTCTTCTTTTAATTAGTCTTTGAGTGAATGAATAATAAAGAAGCTGAAATTAACAAAACAGTAGTAGAAAAATTAGCTAATGACATTCACTGTGCTTTTATTTTACTGATTCAGTAGTATTTCTAAAGTTTGTTTTTAATTCTAGATCACCTAGAATTAACTAACAACTGGAAGGTACTGGGTTTTCAAGAAAGGATAAATCAGTAGGATGTTAGCAAAATGTGATTTCTGCAGAGCAAAATAAAATTATTGAAAGCTTTAAATTGCTTATATTGTTACTGAGCTTTTTTTAAAAAAAATTGAGCCAGCGCAGTACATATAAAAGGATTTTTATATAAGAGTCAAAATTTCATTTCTTTTTTTGTTTTACTTTTACACGAGGGTAGTGTACTAGGGGGGAGTATTTGGGGCCAAGTGCAACAGTGAATGAATGGAAATCCAAAATCTCTGTAAATTTTTACTGAAATTAATAATAAATTTTTAAAAATTTCGACTCTCAAGATGTTTTTCTTTTTCTTTTATTATCTGATGTTTTTAGAGACACAAATACATTGTTATATATGGTTATTCATATCATTATTATTTCCAAACATAAATAATAAAGAAACTATAAAATATAAGAAAAGAAATTATATTTGAAATTGCTCTTTGTATTGTTAATAAACAATTTTTTGTGTAGGATATCTCTTGTAGAGGTGGTGGGGAAGGTATGAGTAAAAACTGACAAATACCTAAAACAAACTGTCAAAGTGAGAATGCAAAGATGAGTGCATGTGAGATAAAAAGACCACAAAAATTATGCCCTTTACACTTACAGTAAATTCTTTTGAAAATTCTTTTGTGTGTGTCTAGTATTTGTCGATGCAAGTGAATACATTTTTTTGATCAAATGTATTAATCATTGCTTTTTAAAATAAGCATTTACCTCTTTGTACTTCTTGTCCTAAATGATTATATACCAAATATTACCAAAGAAATTAAAAATAGTACCTGAATTCCATTAGCAAAACTAGACACTGGGCTCCCATCTTTTAACCAGGTCAGACTTGGAGCAGGAATACCTCTGGCTTCACATTCTAATCTCACAAGATTATTAACCACCACTGCCACCACATTATTGCTGCCAGATATTGAAGGGGGCACTGAAAAAATGTAAAGAATTAATAACAAGGATATGATAACATCACAGAATAGCTCATTACAAGGCAATGAAATTTTTTTATAATTTTATAGAAAATATCTTACAGTTTTTAAAAAGGACTTTTAAGAGGAGCCCTTATAGTTCAACAGTTAAGCATTTAGATACTGACTAAAAGATTGGTATTTCAAATCTACTCTGTGGTCCCACAGAAGAAAGCCCCAGCGATCTAATTTTGTAACAATCACTGTATTTTTTACTATAATTAGCCAATACAAATAATGTGCCCCAGCACAGAACTTGCACAGTACATGGGAAATCTAACTCAAGAAGGGGATTTCATAATTTTTTTAAAAAATGGATGATGCATGACCTTTTGCATTCTTCATGGATAATATTCTTGATATCCTCTCACAGCTCATCTGGCCATTGGTGTTCAAGGCCTCAAACCTGTTTCTGAGATGGTTTTGAAATTTGAGTGGGATAAGTAAAATTTTGGTTCCTGTGAATTTGATTTAATTTTCTTTAACTTCAGCTTGAACTTGCATATGAGTAGTTGGTGGTCTGTTCCACAATCAGCACCTGGCCTGGTTTTCACAGCTGATATTGAGCTTCTCCAGCATTCTTTCCACAGATGTAATTGATATGATTCCTATGCATACCATCAGGTGAAATCCATGTGTACACACTGTGTTTGCATCTTATAAACAGTATTTGCAATGAACCCTAATACAAATACCAAATTAATTTTTCAAGGAGATTGGAAGGATGCAAAAGGTCATTACTTTGGTAAAGTGTCTGTTCATATCCTGTGCCCATTTTTCAACTGGTTTATTTACCTTTATCTTCCTGTGGTGCTCAAGTATTTTATAAATTCTAGATATAAGTTCCTTAATATTTTTCCCCAGTCTGTGGCTTCTCTTTTTACCCTGTTGGAGAAGTTTTTGGATGTGTATAGGGATTTGATTCTTAGAAGGTCCATTCATCTATTTTATCCCCCCTTGGTTGTAGATTTTTCAAATACTGCATAGTGCCACTGCTGTAGAATGGGACTGACATCAGGGTTGGGGTGAGACTGAGAAAAATGGGATAAATTGTGTACTGCATTGAAACAGATGAGAGAGAGAACAGTTTAAAAGCGATATATGATTGGTTGTTATGGTGATGACGGGAGTCCAGAGTGAAGGGGGGGGATTGTATACAAATGAAGGAATTTTTCTTTTACTTTTCAGACAGGGGAGCGAACTGGGGGGGCGGGAGGTGTGGGCAGGGAGAAAAATGCAACAATGAATGAATGGAAATAAAAAATTTCTGTAAATGTTCATTAAAATTCATAAAAAAAAAGAGGTCATTACTATGACAGAAGAGGAAGAAAAGACCAAGATAGATGTCAGATAAGACTCTGAATATTACAAAAGAGAGCTGAGAAGCTGAAGCAAAGGGAAGAAATAAAGAAATTAAGGAGCTGAACAGGAGATTTCAAAGGACAGTGTGGGAAGACAATGTATTAAAATGAAATGTGTAGTAAAGAGCTGGAGTCAGAACATCAAAAGGGCAGAATTCGCTGAGCATTTCTTAAACTGAAGGAATTGAAGAACAAATTCAAGCCTCAAGTTGCAATACTTACGGATACTTCGGACAGAATATGAAATGATCCAGGAAGCATTAAAAGAAGATAGAAAGAGTATACAGAGTCACTGTATTGAAAGGAATTGGCTGACAGAGAAGAATTTCATGAAACAATGTATGAGCAAGAGCCTATGCTGATGAAGGATGAAGCTCAAGCTGCTCTTAAAGAATTGGCAAAAAACAAGGTCCTAAGAATTGATAGCATATCAATTGACATATTTCAACAAACATACACTGCCCTGGATGTGCTCACCAATTTGTGTCAAGAAATCTGGAGGACAAACATCTGATTTGAAGAGATCCATATTTGTAACCATGCCAAAGAAGGATGACCCGACAGTGTAGAAATTATCAAAAGGTATCATTAATGTAACATGAAAGCAAGATTGTGCTGAGAATTATTCAAAAACAACTTGAAGAGAACATCAACAGAGAACTTACGCAAGTGCAGGCTGGATTTAGAAGAGACCATGGTAATAGGGATATGATAGATAATGCTATAGAAAGATCTTGGCTGAAGGCAGACAGTACCAGAGGAATGTCTACCTATGGTTCATTGACTGCAAAAAAGCATTTGACAGTGTTGATCACAACAAACTATGGTTAACTCTGAGAAGTAGGGGAAACCCAGAACACTTGATTTGGTTTATGCAAAACCTATACTTGGACCAGGAGGCAGTCATCAGAACAGAGCAAGGAAACACTGCATGATTTAAGATCCTATCTCCATACCTTTCAATCTTTATGTGGAACAGATCATCTGGGAGGCTGGGCTCTATGAGGCAGAGTGTGGCAACGGGATTGGAAGAAGACTTATCAAAATAACAATCTGCGTTATGCAGCTGACCCAACCCTGCTTGCTGAAACTAAGGAGAACATGAAGCACTTGCTGTAGAAGGTCAAGGACTGCAGCCTTCAATATGGATTGAAGCTCAACATTAAGAAAACAAAGATTCTCACCACTCACACAATTGGCAGCATCATGATAGACAATAAAGAGATTGAGATTGTTAACAGCTTTAGTTTGCTTGGCTCCACAATCAACACTCTTGGTACCAGCAGCCAGGAAATCAAAAGACAAATTGTACTGTGAAAGTCTTCTGTCAGGGACCTCTCCAGAGTACTGAAGAGCAAGGATGTCAGTCTGGAGATAAGGTGTGCCTGATTCAGGCTGTAGTCTTTGCAGTTACTTGCTATGCATCAGAAAGCTGGACACTAGGGATGATAGAAGGAGAATTGCTACTTCTGTGCCGTGGTCCTGGAGAAGAGCGTTAAATATACCATTGACTGCTAGGAGAACAAACAGGTTCGTCCTTGAGAGGGTAAAACCAGGCCACTCCATAGAGGCAAGAATTATGAACCTTTGTCTGACATAGTTTGGGCATGTTGCAAAGACAGGCCAGTCCATGGAAAAGACATCATGCTTAGGAGGTTGGAGGGATAATGCACGAGAGGCAGACCCTTGATGAGATGGATTAATTCAGTGACTGGGATAATGAAGATAGGTTTGTCAGACACAATAATGTTGGCCCAGGATAGAGCAAGGTTCATAGTTATAAGATACAAGTAACTCAATGGCACAGAACAACAACAATATATGTACACATACACACACCCACACACACACCCACACCCATATGGATTGAAGCTCAGCATTAAGAGGATAAGATTCTCAACACTGGGTCAAATGACAGTGCCCAAATGACAGGGCCAAATGACAGATGAAGAAGAGA